GGGCTCCTTACCTTAGGAAGGACATTGAATAGTTGGAAAGGGTTCAAAGAAGGGTTACTAGAATGGTGCCTGGAATGGAGTGGTTGTCATGCGAGGAGAGGCTGAAATCTATTAAATTCTTTTCTCTTGAAAAAAGAAGAGTGAGGGGGGATCTGATTGAGGTATTTAAGATTATGAAGGGAACTGATAGTGTTTATATATTATCTTTTTTTATATTTAACAGTGAGAATAGTAGGACCAGGGGACACAAATATAAATTTTAGCAAGGTAGGAGTCATCTTCAGCTAAGACAGTTTTATTTTTCTAACAGGGTGGTTGTCCTTTGGAATGGGTTACCTTCAGATGTTGTAGAGGCAGTAAATTTAAGTGAGTTTAAGGAAAAGCTTGATAAGGCCTGGATTTAAGTTTTTTTTTAATTATTTTAATTTAGTTTCGAGGATGGAACAGCCAAGATGGACCAATAAGTCCCATTTCGTCTCAAAACATTCTTATATTTTATTTGAATCATAGAAAGATAAAGCTATGAAAGTTTTAAAATGCCACTGATTTTGTGATAATAAATCAGTGCCAAATAATGCTCTGGATATAAAATGATTTGATGAATACTATAAAAATTTTTTCTTCTGCATGTGCATAATATAAATTGACATATGTTTTTATTTTTTCATTTATTAGGAATTGTAAAGTTGTTAAAAATAATGTCTTACCAATTAAACCAGAACTATAGCTAATAGCTTCTTTTATTATAGTACATCTGCCAATGTGACTGACTACAACATTGATACTGTTGTATGAATATATGCATTTTATAAATTTGTGCTAGAATTTTCTTATTTTGGCTCTTTTTTAAATTTAACTTACTATGTTATATAAAGCCACAAAAATTATTAATATTCTTCTCCTGTATTAAATCAGTGTAGATTTCCATAGTGTATTTATATGTGTGCATATATATATATATATATATATGTGTGTTTCTTACAGATATTAATCATATCAATGGTCTTCCTGTTTTCTGAGTACAAGTTAATATTTTACAAAAAAATACCTCACTTTATTCAAAAATGTTTTATATTTCAGAATTTTTTGTTACTTTATCAAGCAGTAAATAAATGCAGAAACTTGACTTGTGAGTCATATGTCTACATAAGCCTGTCACAGTGAAAGCATGATGATTATTGTTAAGAAATTTATGCCTTTATTTGTATAGTTTTTATGTTTCAAGAAATATTTCATTAAACATTTGTATTTCATTCTATAATCATGCTTAATAATTTTATTTTTATAAGTTATCTGTTTGTAGTATGTGACTATCAGTTGTTTTTTTGTGTTTGTTTACAGTTCAGCTCTGCAATGGTATCAATCACAGTAACTGACATCAATGATCAGAATCCAATATTCTTAAAAGATCAGTATTTATTCAGTGTAGATGAAGGTCTTCCAAACATTTTAGTTGGAGTGGTGCAGGTCAGTCTCATTAGCTTTGCTTATTTCTCATTTATGCATCATTGCATAGCAATTTAATTTATAATACTTGTGTTGGGAAGACATGTTTTTATAGGGTAACAAGTGTGATAAGATATATAGCATCCCGGTAAAATTAACTTTTAAGCATCTCATTCTTAACGTGCTGAATACAGGTTTCCATTATGAAAAATTAGCATATAATAATTTTTCATCAATAGTGTGATGAATCTTTTATATTCTGTACTTAGAATAATCAAAATGTTAATACCAATTTTTTAAAAAATAGAACACCCCAGCTAACAAAATAACATTGTGACAATGTTATTGCAAAGTTGCCAAAATGTTTTTCTCCAATGTTGGGAAAATGTTAACATGGAAAGTTTTCTCAATGTTGTATAAACGTTGTCAATAAACATTGTACAAATACTTTCATACAACTTTGCCACAACCTTTCATAAACAACAAAACTAGTATATGAATATGCAAACAAAATCATTTATTACACAATACTGATATAATTCATTCAAATAACTCTTCTCCTGAGCTAACTCTCTCCTGGATTTGGCTCGGAGGTTCTTCCTGCAACGTAGACAACTATATATGTTATAATCAGAGAACATTATTTTGGAGTGAGATAATTCCAGTGTGATGAATTCAAGATGTGTTTCACTTCCATAACAAACTTTTACTATATGTTTTTAATATCAAATTTTTGTACCTCTGATTCTGCTTCTGATTCATCAGTCTCGATCTCTTGTTGTCTTTCTTACTGTTTCATAAAATAATAATAAAAATAGTGCCAAGACAACTTTTGCTGGAGTTATTATGATCAAAAAGATCTTTTATATACTATTTATATTGAAGACATTATACAAAAAGAGATGTTAAAAATCAAATCATCTACTAAAATCAGACTCCCTAGAAATAATAATTATTTGCTGTACCTTGAATTTTTTCCCACCCCGTTAATGTGGGGCATGTTTAAGAAACTGTTATTTCAGTTTATATCTCACTGCTCTTGAGTTTTGGGTATGTCCACTGGCAAGCTTCTGTAATATTAATTTGAAATCTAATATTAATATTCAGTGCATGTAACCCATACATTAATAATAGTAGTAGTGCAGTTTAATAATAATAATAATAAACAATACATGTAACAGCAATATACTTACTAATTATGATTGCACATATGGGTAACTTTTGGAGATCCCTCTTTGTCTTCTGTCCCTTCAAACTATATTCCAACCACAGCTCATAAGTCCCTATTTTATGCCTGATGCAGCTAATTGTGTCTCCTTTGTTTTGTCCACCAAGTGCACTCAAAAAGAGGATCTGAAAAATTGGGATATTGTGAGAGTTAATTCTGTTCTACAGAATTATAAAGTTTTATTATTGAGAGTTCAGCATAAGATTTGAGACTACAGCATACTCTAAACCCAGAAATATTAGCATCCATTAAAATTAACATTTTGACAGTTTGAACATATTAGCGTTCTTTACATTTACTGATTTTGGTGGGAAGTTTAAGGAAAGGGTTGGTACTTATCATATATATTTTTATGATTTTAGCATCAATTAATATTACCATTTAGAAAAAAAAATGCTAAATTTGTCACATTAAAGGGATGCTAATAATTCTGTGTTTACAGTAAGGTATGAGACTACAGCATAAGATTTGGAGTTCATAACTGTTTCATGATATCATTTACCTTTTTTTTTTCTTAGCTCCTTGTTCTCTTCCAACTGATGACTGAGGTCAGTCATCCCCTCTACACTAGTCATGGGCTGCTCCAAGTTGTCCAGTATGTCCTCTGGACAAATGGCAGCTTCTTTGTACAATACCTCAGCAGTGACTTTGCTCTATCTGTTGCTCAATGATCATGTCTAATTTCATAAAGACATTGAGCCAGAAATCTGTTCAAGATTATGTTAAATTTTGAACAATATTTCAATATTTGTTAATGATATTCTTTTATTATTTTAAAAACATTTAGTAGTCATGAGATAAAGTGGTATATGGTATTAAGAATGTTATGATGACACATAATGTTACATCATTTAATTTCATTCTTGTATGCTCCAACAATGGCTGTTTACAGTAAAGTGTAAAATAAAACATTTATTGTCAGTGCTGTCTTCTGATCTCACTAGGTGACCTTCAATATATATGGTGTTCTTTCTTGTGTGTGATGGGCCTACACCTGAATGAGATGTAAGCCTTAACTTCTTGGCTGCGTGCACTATGAGAAGGTCTCATAATGAATGTTAAATACGTCTGTGCATATACTATGAGAAAATCTCATGGTAAAAATACTCATTCATAATCCTACCAAATCTCCTTTATTTCAACCAGACTCCTTTTATTCTGACACAATATATTTCTGTGGTATTTTGAACAATTTTATGTTGGATATTATTAAATTGGATAAAAATTATACTCTGATTTCACTGATATTTGCAGCACTTACTACCTGAGGCCTCCCTTCCTGTTCCTATTCTGAGATGAGGGTGTAATAGGAGTGATAGTAGTGGATTGAGTTTTCATACCCAATAACAATGACAACTTGCCTATAAAGAGAAAGGACTGTAATAGTTACAACCCCAGACTCTTGATATATATTGATATAATTCTGACATTTCTGTGTTTTACAGATTATCAAGAACTCCACTTAGATGCCACAATATATATAAAACTAAAATTTATTTAATGAACATAAATATTATTAAATATTACATTATGTCATTAAATTACAAACGTACTGAACATTGTCCCATGCAATGTCTTCTTTCTTATTTCAAATCTAGGAGACAAAGTTTTGGTTCTTCTTGACCTCTCTTCTATAAAAAAATGATTCATGTAAAGTTTTTTTTTTTATTTACATAATTTTTTATTTATATGTTTAAGCAGTATTTACTCACTATCAGTGTTTGGCTGCAGGGGACTGAGGTTGGGAACCTCAGGCTGTGATAGTAGTGGATTCCCTGACAACTTTTCTTTACCTCTTCTTCGTTTTTGAGGTTCTTCAGCATATAATTTAATTTCTTAAGTGGGGTTTGGTTGATACACAACTAAAAAGTTTTTTTTTTCTTACTACTTACAATTGCTAGCTGTGCAGTCATTGAAAATGTACAGTAATGTATTCATTGACTTTTAAGGCAATACATAACTAAAGATTTTCAGTAATAGATTTATGTCACTTATAGCTTCACCAGACGATTGTAGACATCTACATTTGGCCTTCAATTTCCCATGTATGAAGCATTTATGTGAAGAGGATGCCAATATTACCACTATCACTCTCATCAGTCTCCTAGCACACTGGTCTTCTAACTTTTCTTTTGGGCTCCTCTGCATCAGACTCCACATTAGATGTCTCTATTGCCAGTTGAGTCTTTTGGTTGGCCTGGGCCAAGTCATCTGTAATTTGAAAGAACTATAACTTTATTTAAAGTACAAAAGTTATTGTTGGAAAGAAAACAAATTAAGTAACGATCATTTACCTAACACAAATATAACAAAAAAATACTGCAAACATGCATATTGTTAAGCCAATGCATCATAATGTCAAGCTCAGTAGTTGTGGTAAAAAAATTGTTAATATGGTATCTACACTGAACAGCTCTTTTACTCTACTTGTGTATGCAAACACTCATATTTCATGTTTGTTTCATTTTTCACACTTCTTTACCCTCTGTGCAGCACCAAATGACAACCAGTAGCTATGCAATGCCTAATAATATATAAAAATCAGAAACATTTAGTACGGAAAAGCAAAATTATATACTTTGTAGTATCCTTCAACCAAGTTAATGGAGGTTTTATAGAACTAAGATAAAATTTAAGAGCAATATCTTGTATGGATTTAATTGGCAAAATGGTGGTTGTACTCTTCCATATACTCTACAAAGCAACCCTTTAATTTCCTCCCTATCATCACCTTCATTTAAAACTGCCACAACTTGACAGCATGAGGAATTATCTACTATCACAGTATTATTTGGTCTTTTCACAGAAACACTTGGTTTGCACTTTTTGTGTATTTCATGTTTTTCTAATTCATCTAATCTTTTAACAACTTGTGCCATTGGATTTTTTTCTATAATGGACCAATTGCTTTAACTGATGAAGGTAGTTTTCAAAAGGAAATCCAGAACACTGATCCAAGCTTCCAAACTCTCTTGCACCAGATGAGATATGTTAATTGTGACATAAATACAGTTTGACTGAACTCCATTTGTAACAATCCTCTGCTTTCTTCCATCCAGCCACTCTGGAACAAATAAGTATAGAAACTGCTGTGCTGAGTATCATGAAATGATCATACAGATCTGGCCTCAGAACTCCTTTCAAAATAATCCTGTTTGTATAAACAAGAAATTGGCAGTACTCAATTGCTTTCCAGTAATCAATCTCCTCCAAAATCTTCGTTTGTGAGCAAATTTGGCAGGTATTGAAGGTCTCAAGGCAATGAACCTTCTGCTTATTTCTGCACTGTGTGGAGTGGACATTTTCACTTCCTTTTTACCCTGTATCCATAACAACAACATTCTTCTCATTACACTCAAACATGCTTGATGCATATAATCAATGGACACACCACTGTGGTGTTCCTCCTGAGTTTGGTTCCTGAATGTTTCATCTGTACACAGCACAACATCGTGTACTCCTGGATAGGTCATTCTACCAAACCATTGGCCTTTTTGGTTGCATCCATCACAACCATAGTAACCACTGTAAAGTTTTATTGCCTGGATCAAAGCCTTGGCAGATGCATCACAAACTATACATTTCCAGTTCAGCTGAATAATTTTATCCTCGTATTGAAGTCTATTTTGCATAATTTCCTGTAACTCTTTAACCGTTTCTTTGATGAATTCTAAATTTGATGGCTTAGACTCCTCATAGGTAATAGCTATGGGGAAAACGATAGGATCATGTTGAATCACACAAAGGATTGATCACAATGACTTTGTGTTACTTCTGGAAAGTGGTAACCCAT